CACATTTCTCCTTCACTAATTAACCGGCAAAAGTAGCTTAAATTTCAAATAATCTTTTTAGTGCAACTCAACATGGAAACTCGCTCGCCACAAGCGCAAACACAAAGCATAAATGAAGTCAGCCGACAGTTGGCCGCAATCAATCCGGCAGCCACACTTCAACACCTCAGCAAGTGCATTCAAGCTGCCAACTGCTAAGAACACACACTAGTACACATATACATATACATATGTATGTATGTACATGTGTATATATTGTGTGTATGAAATGCATTATGAGCTGCACGCGAACGTGTGTAATAATATGATAGGCATTAAGGCTTCATTCATTTAACATAGTCACGCTCAAACTCTTTCGCTCGCACATTCACTCGGCCATCTATTCACTGCAACACACACACACAAACAACATGGCACCTGCAGCGGTACATGAACCGGTATGACGATGTTTTGACTAAACGGTAATTCTAAACTACTTAGTGAGTAACTACTTCGCTTGTCACTAGTTGCTTACTAGTACACTTTAGTACTGTAGCCAGATTTTGATTTAAAAACTCGATTTTGAAAAAAAATTAACGGTTCTTTGCAATAAAAAAAAAAAATATATATATATATATAGGTATATATATATTTAAATGCAATCATTGTCGTTTATAATATTTGAGGACAATCAGTAAATAATTTAAAAAAATTAAAAAATATCTGTGTGTATTGACACTTTTTCGTTTGTAACCAAAATTATGTAAAATACACTGCTCTTAACCCTGGTATTGCCATCGCTTGTTTCTGTTACTCACAAATGTACATCTTTGCGGCGGAGGGCGGTGGGTTTTTGTTGCCTGGTGAACGCGAAACCAAAGCTTTTCAACTACCTATGCATGCAAATACGCTTTGTGTGTGTGTATTTGTGTTGCAGACAACAACCGGAGCTGAGCACATATTTGTATATCTGTTATTCGCGCTAAACAAAAATCACAAAACATATTGCCACAGCGCTAGAGCGGCGACGGCGGCGCGACAATAAACAAGTACAAAAACACTTTTCACACCTTTTTTACTCACCATTTGCACTGTATGCATTTGCGTGTGTGTGTGCGGCTATTTGTTGTTGGTTGTGTTTGTTTGTTTTCGCCGGCATGCATGTTAATAGTGTTTTGCGTTTATTATGTGTACACATACATGCACGCGTGCGCATGTGTGGTGACATTTTTCTTGTTATTTCAGCGCTTTTTGTTGCATATTGCCAGCAACTTCTGTCACTGCAACACCCTTTCGGCTGTAACAAGCGTCCATTTAGAGCCCTCTAACGCTTTCTTTATGCACCTCGCATACAACTCTATTTGCAAAGTGTTTTTGTTGTAATTGTTGTTGGCACTCAACACGATTCTATGGATTCTATGGGCACTCACTCGGTTACAATGTAAAAGTAATTTTCACCATTTTTCTTAATTTTCTTTTTTGAACACTCTATCTTTTGACGTTTGTGCTATTGTTGTTATTGCATACTCACTTTCTGGATAGCGTGACAACGGTAAAATATACCATACAATGTTGCCACATACATGCATAGTTAAATTTACACACTTTACACTTGCCACAAAATATGGCGATTTGACCGCGTGCACAATACACACACTGTCATGCAGGTTCCAGTGTGTGTGTGTGTGTGTGTATGTGTGACTGTGTGAAATATTTCGTTTCAATTTGTTTTTGTTCACTACTTCGTGATGACAGATAGGCCACATAGTGCTCATAAGCGCACAGTTATGCATATTTCAGCATACTATGTCCATAACTCGCTTCTTTTCATCGGCTGTCGTTTATGTACTGTTACTGCACGAGCCGTGAGTTGTTGTCTTAAGTGTGCAACAAGCGACGTCTTGACAGAAAATACACCGATTTCCGGAAGTACTCTTTGTCCACATGCATCATTTGCTTTAAATGTGTTTATTTTCATGGCTTTTTGATTGCAAGGGATTTTTATAAGTTGTGATTCGCCTAAAGGTATGCAATGTATGTGTAATAGAAGGTATGAACGACCAACCACCACATTCATATATTTTGAGCAACAAGATATAAGTGTGCCTTCGGTTTTCATGCATCTTCACATATATTTTTATACTCTCGCAACCTGTTGCTACAGAGTATAATAGTTTTGTTCACCTAACGGTTGTTTGTATCACCTAAAATTAATCGAGTTAGATATAGGGTTATATATATATAAATGATCAGGATGAAGAGACGAGTTGAAATCCGGGTGACTGTCTGTCCGTCCGTCCGTCTGTCCGTCCGTCCGTCCGTGCAAGCTCTAACTTGAGTAAAAATTGAGATATCTTTATGAAACTTGGTAGACATGTTTCATGGTACCGTGAGACGGTTGGTATTGCAGATGGGCGTAATCGGACCACTGCCACGCCCACAAAACGCCATTAATCAAAAACAAATAACTTGCCATAACTAAGCTCCGCAATAAGATACAAGACTGTTATTTGGTACACAGGATCACATTAGGGAGGGGCATCTGCAGTTAAAATTTTTTTTTAAAAAGTGGGCGTGGTCCCGCCTCTAATAGGTTTAATGTGCATATCTCCTAAACCGCTAATGCTATAATAACAAAATTCACTAGAAGCAAATGTTTTTAGCACTTCTATTGACGGTGTGAAAATAGTTGAAATCGGGTGGCAACTCCGCCCACTCCCCATATAACGGTATTGTTAAAAACTACTAAAAGCGCGATAAATCAAGCACTAAACACGCCAGAGACATTAAATTTTATCTCTGAGATGGTATAAGATGACTTTATAGGAACCGCGTTCAAAATTAGACAGTGGGAGTGGCACAGCCCACTTTTAGGTGAAAACCCATATCTTGAGATCTGCTCAACCGATTTCAATTCGGTGCATAACGTTCTTTTCATGTTTCTATGTCATAGTGCGAAAATGGGCGAAATCGGACTACAACCACGCTTACTTCCCATGTAACACCATTTTCAATTCCATCTGATTCTTTCACATTCCACTATGCAAATCAGGTAAAAATGATTATATCGGGGTAAAACTTTGCGTGAATAATGCAATTAAAGTATGCCACCTTGCGGCCAAAAATTGTCTTAATCGAACCAAAACTGTTCAAACCCCTAAGTACTAAATATGTGGACCCCAGTGCCTATAGTTGACCTTCTAACGAAAATATCAGTCAATCCACAAAGAAATCTCAAACTAGTATACCATTTGACCTTGCGAGAGTATAAAATGTTCGGTTACATCCGAACTTAGCCCTTCCTTACTTGTTTTATATTATGTTCACATAGTACACTTATATATATATGCTTCTGTGTATATATATCATATACGAATACCTTATATAGCAATTGACCAGGTTACCGGAACAGTGATGCTGCTGACATAGATAAAAAAACAAAAATAAGATTAAAATATTGATGAGATTGTAGGCGATCTTCTCTGTAATGTATGTAATGTAATGTTTCATGATGTGACGTATTTTATTATTTATGTTTTCTCTTGCATCATTGAAGGCGGCAATTAAAACGGCAGTTACAATCAAAAGCATTGCCTTAACTTCAGAACTGTTCAGAGATAATATTTTCTTATAACCTTTGAGTGCCAAGGCGTATGAGCCACTCATTTCACTATTTTGTTATATCTCATCTTTATCTGTTATCTTATCATCTCAAATCCTTCTGGCTTGTAAAATTGTAAGAATATTGTTACAAATATATTAAAAAAAAAGCTTTGCAAACAAAAAGTCAAGCACAATTTTGGTTTCGTCGATTCGGTTTTGGTAATTTTGATGTAAAAGATTCACCACGCTCTGGAAGGTCAATTGTCGAACATATCGGTATCGAATATTTAATGAAAATCACTGAGTCCGACCATTCTGTAAGCATTTTTTCGATTACCCAGAAGCAAAAAATTACATATTGGAACCATTTTAATCTGTATGAATTCAAAAAGAAGCTTTATATATGGTTAACGCAAAGAGACCACCCGCAAAGAGACCACACCACATTTCTGAAGCGGATGATTGCTAATGATGAAACGTCACTTACGACAACGTAAGTCAGTATTGAAGGTCGAGCAGGAATTGCCATGTATTTGATGGGATTGGCAGGAAATTATCTACTATGAGCTATCGACCAGAAGCGGCCAGCTTTGACCAATAGCAAAGGAATTATGTTCCATCACGACCACGCCAGAACATACACATTTTGATAGTGATTCGCAGAAACTCTCGGAGTTTGGTTGGGTGATTCATATAGCACAACCTTATAGTTCGGACCTTGCAAAAAATTATTACTGCCACTTCCTGTCTATGGCGCATGATTTTGCTTGTGAAATATACCACTCAAGAGAAACTTGTGAAAATCGACTGTCTCAATTTTTGCAAATGGGGAGAAGTATTTCTATGAGAGTACATTGTGAAATCACCTTCAAAATGGCGTTTGAGTTATCGATCCTAATGGCGCATATCTGACTTAAATCAGATAATTTTAACTATACACAAAATATCCTCAAATTAAATGCAAAAATAAGAGTTTCCTTTTTACTATATGTATTCTAAAATTTTTACTACTTAAATATATTTCACAGCCCCAAAGTAATTTAACTAACGGATCTTAAAATTTTTTTAACCATATTAGAATAATTTTAAATAGATAAATTCTAGGAAAATTCCTTGAATACATCCACAGATAGCTTGGACACCACAAATAAGTCGGAACTAAAAATTTGCTAAATACTGCAAATGAGCCCCAACAATAGTTTAGTGAAGTCTTAATTGGGTTCGCAATACTTGTTATACCGTTTGTTATACGCGGAATATTGTCCAAAGGGCATTTATATTAAAACAACAGAAGGGGTTGGAATCTGTACATTGAAGTTAAGATCGTGGATTTATATTTCAATGTCGGCTCTGTCATTCCATTGCTAATTTGCGACAGTACGGAGATATTCGAAAATGACAAAATAGAAGTCAGCATCAAATCGTTTCTAAATTTATTACTATATACATATATATATATATATATATATATATTAATTTAAATAAAGATGTTATTCTTATGACTAACTTTATAAATATTATAGCTTAAGAACTTTTTTACGTCAGCTCACTTTTCTTTAGCCCGCCGATGATTTCAAAACAGTGGCACTTAAAAGTGGGTTAGTATCGCAACAATGTTGGCACGGCGATTCGCCAGGGATGCAACACATGTCACATGATCGCGTGAAATTTAGCTTGTCATCTTCACTGTCATTCAGAGAGAAATTCAGTTAACAAAAATAATAAATGAAATGAATGATCGACAGAGGCACTTACTTCAAATATGAGGGAAGCAATGGGCTGAGAACTGGAGCAACTGCGCCATTGCCTTGGTTGGGTATAAGTGTACTCTCCAATTGCGGCTGTGTCGGAGGTTGAGGTGGGTATGATGTCGCTTGTTGGTTAGAGATGTTGTCTTGAAAAATACGATTTGTTATTGTTGTTATTTGTGGCTTATAAAATTGTAACGGTTGTTGTTGGGATTGGTGGAACTGCTGCGGTGGCTGTGTTTGAAATTGCTGTTGCTGCTGCTGTGGTTGTTGACTTATCCGCAGAAAATTAATGTTATTGTACGCTTGTTGTGGTTTTTGTTGTTGTTGTCGCTGCATATAGCTGTTACTTTGCAAATATTGCTGACTATTTGCTGATTGTGTCAGCGATGACGATGAGAGTAAAGATGATTGTTGTGGTTGTTGTTGTTGTTGTTGTTGCGGCCCATATGATTGCCGATAGTGTTGCTGTTGTTGTTGCTTCACTACAACCGCTTTAATTGCCGCGGGATGCTGCCGCTGCTGCGAAGTGAAAGCAATGCGTTGCTCAGTGCCGCTATTGACTTGTAGTTGTTGCATTTGTTGCCCTGGCGTTGCGACAAAAAATCTTACCACCGGCTTGACGACAGAGGATGTTTGGGACGAACGCTGTTCATGCAAATTCCTGATAAGACGCATTACAAATTTTTGAAAAAGGTAAATTAATTATATGGCAACACTGAACGCACAGTAAGAGTAACGATGAATAAAAAAGCACACAAATTAATAATAAACAAAATTGTGTTAATAATTAATTACCGCCTTCATTACCTTTGCCGTTGCTGGTATTGTTGTTGTGGCGTCAGTTGCGCTGTTTGTCGTGTTACACGCTTAACCGTTTCTTGCTGCCGACAATTAATCGCATTCGCCGCATCAACACTCGAAGTATAGAATACTTGTAACAGCAAAAACAACAATAACAAATTGCATACAAATTTCATATTTTTAAATTTTTTAAATTTAAAAAAACAACTTCTCAAAATAATTAATTCACTACACACACTCCCGCAACGAATTTTCCTCTTGACAAACAGTTTAAAAATCCATTTAACTTTATATTGTTTACTATTTAAATATGTATTTATGTGTGCGAATAATGCTAACGTTTATAAATTATTCAATTCACTCGCGATTTCCAAAAACCTTCTCAAACTGGTCGCTGCTTGTTGCCAATTGATCGCTCAATAACTGTTGCTCGCAAGCTAAACTCGCTCACGTCGCTACTGCCAACTGATGAAATCTTTGCTGCAGAAAATCAATGCAAAAATCGTCGATATTGACGGTTCTGATAATAAGCTTTACGTATAAAATACTCTATTGTCCACTTTTGTGATGTTACTTGTTGTAGTTTCTATTTCGCTTACATATTTTTGTTCGTCATTTTATTAGCGTTCTTTAAGAGGCTTACAATGGACTTAACTCTTCGATGGAGCATCTTTTACACTTTTAATATTTTTTTATAAATAAATTGTTCATTTAATATACAATGCGTGTAAACTTTTTTCTTAACAAAAAAAAATCTTAGACGAAAAAATAATATATAAAGTTACTATCCAAAGTGTGTATGTTTATATGTATGTATGCAACATATACGTGTACTTTGCTTACGATATTAGAAACTACTTCTCAGCATTAAATATCACAATCAAGATTCTTAGAATCTTAGAATTCTTAGAAACCTTTAGATAAAATCCTACAAGTATATCTCAGAAAATTATTGACCAATTTGAAACAAATTTAGTGTGTGAAGTTATCCAATCATTCCTTTGATACGCTGGGATATCGAATGACAAACATGCCTACTTTCCATATAACAAACTTTTAAATTCCAACGGGTTCTTTCTCTTTCCAGTATGCAAATCAAATTTTAATGAAGTTTTCATAAAAAACTTTGCACAGATAATGTCCTCAAGGTATTTCATCATACGCCCAAAAATTGTCGAATATAGTCCGAGACTTTCTCCGATAACTTTTCAAGAACCCAGACACGAAATATAGGAACCCCAGTGCATATGCCTGATTTTTTACCACACATATCGGTCACCCTGTGAGATCTAGTATTGAAACTTACGGATAATAATTTTCTGATGACAGCATATCCTTATGCCAAAAATGAGTAAAATCGTGTCAATACTTTCCGTAGCCCTCATATACCTAATCTAAATATTTTCGAACTTCCGGTTGACTTTATACCGCATTTATCGGTCAATGTGTAAGAAATCTTAGTGAAATTCAGAAAGTATCTCTTGCCTAAAATGGGTGAAATCAGGGCAATAATTCCCCTACTTTAATATAAAGTTTTGCCAACACCGGAAAGTATTTCCTCAGCCTTGCTCCTTACATGAGTATAAAATGTTCGGTTATAACCTAACTTAATCCTTTCTTACTTTTACTTATTACTTGGTGTACAAAAATATTACTACGAAAGTGCTGTGACTTATATTCTTGCAGAAATCTTAAAATCCGATACGATATAAGTTCTATTAAATTATTATATAAAAATTTGCTTCAAGAAAAAGTTTTGATAATGAAAATTATCAGCTCGTAAATAACATAAATAAGAGTACATAACACCCTGTATGCTGTAAGTTACTCAAGTTACGCTTGGATACGAAACGGCACTTAAAGTGATGGTATTGCCAAATTGTACATGCCACTTATATTCAATCTTAAATGACATGTGTACTTTCCTATTTTCAGTATGAATTGTAATAATTGAAACTCGTTTTGGTATTATTTTTGGCTAAGGGAATTCCATGACTTATATGAACATTTTATGATTCATGCCATTCAAGCCACATGCCTTGTTTATACCACTTATAAACCAGCGTCTGACTACTAAATAAAGCTATCGAAATTTTTTTGCATTTCGCTTTGCGGACTTCCCAATGTAGTAATTTTTATACTCTTGCAACATATTGCTACAGAGTATAATAGTTTTGTTCACCTAACGGTTGTTTGTATCACCTAAAACTAATCGCGATAGATATGGAGCTATATATACTCGTATATAAATGATCAGGATGACGAGACGAGTTGTAATCAGTAAAAATTAAAATATCTCAATGAAATTTGGGACACGTGCTCCTTGGCAAAAAAGTGAGAACGAATGCGTAAATGCCATAACTTAGCACTAAATTAAGATATAAACCTGTAATTTCATACAGGGAAGTTCAGTAGCAAGCGGCACCATTGGTATAAAAATTAAAAAAAAAATAGGCGTGGGTCCGCCCTCTAATAGGATCAATGTACATATCTCCTAAACCACTACAGTAACCAAATTTGCTAAGGACAAATCATATAAGAACACCTACCGACAGTGTGAAAATGGAAAGAATTGGATTATAACCCCGTCCTCTCCCCATATAACGCTTTTGTTAAAAATTAACTAAATGCGCCAGAGAAATTAATTTTAATTTTGTAATTAATTTTGTAATTAATAATTATCCTTACCTTCCTACATTACAGTATGAAAATTATATCAGACGAAAATCACGCCTACTTCATATGTAACAATTCTTTAAATTTCCTTCACATAATAAATAAATATTTAAACAAACAAAAATACACATCCTCTTTTTTAAGGCAGAAGTTAATATCTCATTATACACATCTCATTACACCATTAATATTTTGAACAATTCTGTTACCATATTCCAACACTTATAGTGCGGTATATCCAGACCATGCATACTAAGGTGGGTAAAAAAACGAAAGTTTTTATTTTGCTTAGTACTCTGAAATATTGGTTGATAGATACCTCTAAAAAAGTCTCTTCAAGTATTAACTCTTAATTGTAACGGGAAGGTCCTCCGCTTTCTATTTTTTTCTCATTATCAAATAGAAAAATTCATAACTCGCTTTCAACGACTTGAAAGCATACTTCGTTTTCTGAGTTTTATATATGGAGTGCCATTCTTAGAGGTGGGTAACAACCAATTTTTCAGAGTACGAAACGAAAGAAAAAAATTTCATGTTTTTTGACCCACCCTAATGCATACTCACGTAAACACATGCATTTGTATGCACCTTTCTTCTACGCTACCTTTCAATGTCGCTTTCCGTAATATTTTCTTTCATTTCCTGCGCTTTCCGAGCAAACATAAAATTTACAAAGCAAATAAAAATATGGCGAATATGTATGTTAAGCATAATTCACGTTGATGGAATTGTTCCAGAAAATTATATGCATCACATAACTGTACGCGTCATGCATAAAAATGGTTGAAAGTGTGGTGGCGGAACGAGTTGAATACGAGCGAGTACAAATAACGAAACTTTTATGAATATTCGGACTTAAAAGTACATGTGTGTATAAGTGTGGCACGTTGCTGCACTGCTGCCGTGCTATAGTCTTGTACTCGTACTTACACGCACACATAGGCAATTGAAAAAAAATTCACACACACATGCTTACCCATAGGTGGCTGTGAATATGCATTTCAGCGCGCTTATCTTTTGGTCTTATTTTCAGCTACTTTTTAGCAGCAGTAAATCTACCAACGGCAACAATTTTCATTGGACCGGCATACGAAGTTCGAGTGCCACACAGAAGCTACTACTCACTGTTATATTTTGTGACTGCAAACGATTTTCTCGCCGACCCAGAAGCCATCGGTATTTTAAGAATACAAAAGCATGGCTTTGCTGACTGTTTTTCCGTCCTTGTATAGCAAAGGGACTGTATAGGGTCTTTAAAGAGCTACGACCTCTTTATTAGGACCACTGGCAAAATTAAAATGAAGTATGAACATGATGAGAACCGAGTGATCTAAGCAGAAACCTTAAATAAGTTCATAGTTCATAAGTTCATATGTTCAAAGATTCAAAGATTATGTTATTATAATCAATGGGAGTTTTAGTCACTCGTAATGCAAGGTTTTGTATAGCCGATTTTGTGATTAACAATGGTGTTTCTTTCTGGTTAATTGATAACTTCTGAGAACGAGCATGAGCATAACATGATGACGACGGTGATGACAATTTATTCTTGTGATATCTATTGTACTAAGCGGTGATATCGTAAGGAATGAAAATTAATATTGGATTACCTTTAGAAGAGAAGTGAGAGGCTTAATCACGCTGCTATATTCAAAAGAACTGCTCGCCACAATCTAAATTAAGGAAGATACCCCGTCGAAAACGCAGTATTCTTCTATGAAGGCACGTCACGCCGCTTCTAATATATTGTTAATATCACCGGTAAATCGTTTATTGTGTTGGTTTTAGTTTTACAAAGGAGTGAAGAAAAATATTATTTAGTGCTTAGTCAATTTTATTATAATATCTATTATAATTATCTGTAACATATACAATTTTCTCTCAGGTTACCAACAGAGCATAGAATTTTAACTAACATTATTAAAACCAACACCCTTTATATTAATTCTCATCAATGCGCTTACATACCGCTATATTTACAAGTAAATGTCACCAAAGTCTATAGGATACCCACCCGATGATGAAGTTCAGCTTCAACGCCATTTTCGGTGTTCGACATCTCCTATAACCTCTTGCTGATACCGTCACTCTCACAAGTAAATATAAACACAAGCGCACGTATTTATATAAGCAACTTCATCTGCACTTTTCAATTTAACCGAAACAGCTGTTTACTGGCATCGTCGATCCAGTCAGGACTACTACTTCGGTTGCTGTTGTACTTGTTGTAGTTTTTCTCCATTTAATACGATAGGGGCGTGCAAGCGGGCTGTCTCGCTTAGCATATAATTTATTTTAAAAATAAAATATGCGAGTTCACTTCACTTTGAACCTACAAACACATACACTTACACACAGGCATCTTCAAGCGCTTGGTAGGCGCTGGAGCCTGCGAAGACAGGAGAGAAAACTTGGCACCAAAAGCAACAGCACACATTCGACTAATAGCAGCAGTAACAAGTGGTACGTGTAGCTGTAAGTTTTGTTGCATCTTCACACGCGAATAAATGAATTTTAGGTTATTATAAAAGAGGCAGCAGCCGGATGTTCCAAGTTTGTTTCGGTATCTAATTTATGTGGCAAAAGGAAGTAATAAAGAAATTAATTTGACTGTTAGAATTATTAGGGTGCAACATAGTGTTGCACAAAAATGTAAGCCAGGACCAAGTGAAACAGAAGCCCCAGCGCTCAGTGCATTTAAGCGCAATAAAAGCGACGGTATATTGCAACAAGCAAACTTTCAACTGACAGTGATGTATTTCATGAGAGCGAGAGAGCAGAAAGCGAGAAATTTATATGATGAATTTGAGTAGGTTATTGATCAACAACTTCATAACTCGAATTATGTAAGTTCGCTTTTAAGTTCACGTGAGAGTAAAACTACTGAAATGGAGTAATATTAAAAAATGTTTGTTTCCCATACTTTATCTGATGGTCAACTGAATACTATGTGAATATGTAAAACTTATAGGATTCAAACCAAGTTCCATAACCGTTCGAGAATCTTTTGAGGTTAAATTATAGTTT